TTTCCCTCAGATGACCTCTCTGCCATTAGGCCTAACATATTATTTGCTGTAAAAAAAAAATAAAAATACACAGTGAATCACAATCTACAGTGGGCTGAAAAGTATTGATCTAGAAGTTGAAAGGGGAAATGTGTCACTGCCCGTCCATGTTGTTCATACTCAAAACAAATCATACAGTACATAGTACAATACAGTCACGATTTATGAGACAGTCAAAAAAGTAGTTGAATTACTGTGTATCTTACGTGGGGAAATGAGTGGTTTGCTTCACTTTTGGTGAACGTATTATGCCAAATCAACGGAAACACCACTGCAGGATAACAAAAAGCAGAAAGTGGCTTAACATTCCAATGGCCTGTAAATGATGAAGGACAGAGAGGAAAATAGAGGCACATTCTATTCCTTAAATTCTGAATGAAATAGTTTAGGACTACTGCTGTGTATCCATGCCAACATGATTCTATTCTTCTGGGTTACTAGGCTTTTATCAATCTTGAAAGAACCATCCAGTGAGCAAATTAAATAAAAAAATTTAAAAACTAATTCTACCTATCCTTGTTCTGTCTCTTATTTTTTACACGGCTTCTGTCAAGTATATTCTCTGTGTTCTTAAACATTTAAATTTAGAAATACTTTATATGCAGGTATAAATTAACTTCTATGAATTACACTAGGATATGTAGTACAGACCAGCAACAACATCAAGTTATTGAATGAGACCACATTTTAGTCAAGTTGACAGTTTATTCAAGTTACACAATTAAAAACTTTTTTTCAAGTCTATCTTTAGCATGGCAGCAGGATTTTAGTATTAAAATAATTCTATATAAAAATATTTTAAAATGTACAGGTTAAATTCAGAATAGCAAAACTACTTTAACACCACAAAGATAACACACAGAAGTAGTGCCAACACTATAGATGTCTAGTAGTATGTCTCTCTTTCCACCCAACCTGCAAAGAAAGAAAAAATAAAACTTATTTTTACTTTTACAGTTGAAAAATATAAAATGATGCACTCATACACTACTTAGACATACATTTGTATACTATTCATTTAAATCCAACAATAGAGTACATTTGATTAGAGCAAGGTTGCAGTTTCCTGATTACCTCCGGGGTTCCGTCTAAGGATGAGCTTTCTGATTTCATCATAAATAAAGATGAGAAGAGAGTACGGGAAGGCACAGAACCACCAGTTGGGCCTGTAGATAGAGCGCAGAATATAAACCAAAGAAGCAGCCAAGAAAAAACTGCATATTTATTTTATACAAATACATTTTAGCCTACTTGAGTGGGTACATTCTGAGAGCCACATCCATGCCAGGGCAATAAGACAAGAAAGCCGCCAGTGCTGTTTCCTCAAACAATCCAAAGATCAGGATTTTGTTCATTGTAGGACAAAAAATGTAGTAAACAGACAATAAATAAAAGAAAATCTCCTCAAGGACATGGCTTACGCTCATTTGTTCTCCCAGACTCACTTCATTCCCTGCTGGAAGACAGAATTACGCCTGGTCTTGCAGATAATCAGATCGGCCCACTGCACGACCACAATGCTGGCGAAGAATGCTGTGTGGCACGAGAACTCCACAATCTTACTCTGTTGATATGTCTGAGAAAACATAACATTGTTTTGATACAATCATTTCATAGTATCACTTGTGAAGACCAGTGTTGGGGGTAACACATTACAAGTAACACGAGTTACGTAATCAGATTACTTTTTTTCAAGTAACTAGTAAAATAATGCATTACTTTTACATTTACAATGAATTATCTGAGTTACTTTTTTAAATAAGTAACGCCAGTTACGTTGTTTCCCATGTATTCACTGACAGCTCTTGTGTTGCCATGTTGAGAGAAATGAGGAGTAAGTGCAGAGGTGTTGTGTGTGAAGATGATCTTACTGTAGTTCTAGACTAAATATAAACATTTACTCACATGCACAAAAACAGATTCAGTATTCCTCAAAATGAATAAAAACAGTCAAATGCAAACTCAGAATATTATACAAACCAGCAATAATTAAATATGTTAAATTAGACAAATATAATTTATGCATTTTATCCCATTTTATTAACCAACGTCTTTGCTACTGACCTTTGATGATCCAATTCAACCATACTAAGCAAAAATGACACATTTGTGTTTCATTTTTGTTATTGCTGAAAAGTGTTGAACTTTCTTCTCCTGCGTCATATTCTTCATGCGATTTGTTTGAGCTGCACCCTCTACTGTACAGACGTGAATTTACATTTCCTTCAGCCTGAGTTGAGAGAAATGAGGAGTAAGTGCAGAAGTGTTGTGTGTGAAGATGATCTTACTGTAGTTCTAGACTAAATATAAACATTTACTCACCTGCACAAAAACAGATTCAGTATTCCTCAAAATGAATAAAAACAGTCAAATGCAAACTCAGAATATTATACAA